CGCGCGCCCCGCTGGTCCTGGGAGGCCGCGGCGCTCGTCCGACTCGGCGAGCACCACGCCCGGCGCGACCAGCCCGCCCAGGCGGCGTCGTACCTGCGCACCGCGGCGCTCGAGCTCGACGACGCGGCCGCGTGCGCGGCCATGGCGCGCCTGCTCGTGCGCAATCACGACGTCGTCGCCCCGGACGAGAGGCCCTACCTGCGGTGGTACCTGTTCAAGGCCGCCGCGAGCGGGTCCAGCGAGGCGGCCTTCTACCTCGGCGTCCTGGAGATGGAGCTGGCGCGGCGCGGCGGGCCGGCGGCGGCGGCGGCGGCGGCGGCGGCAGACCACGAGAGGATGGGCCGCGAGTGGCTGGCGATCGCGAGCCAGGACAAGAGCCAGGACATGGCGAGGCTGCTCGCTCTCTACAACGGGAGCGATGTCCTCAAGGTCAAGGTTAGCGATGCTATACAGAAGCTTTGAGAGTGGCTGTTCGATGATGGGACCGTATTGTTCCTGGATGGTGGCTTCCTGCCCTGTGAAGTGTGGGGTGTAACATCAATGTATAGATAGAGCATGTGTGTGTGTTGGCCGCAGTATCATATGTAAGAAGAGTTGTGTTCATAGTTAGTTAGGCCACCCGCCCACCGGTTGGGTTTGGGGGGTGGGAGATTATAAAAGTGATAGATACCCATCCCCAAAGCCAAAGCCAAAAACAAAAGTCAAGAAGAATAAATCAGAGTATATTCCGTCCCAAGAGCAAAGAGTCGCCTGTGAGTCCCCCGTCCTCGTCATGAAGAAAAGCAGACATCATATCAGGCGTGGTATCAAACTTGTCTAAACCAGGCAACAAAGACCAAAAGAAAAAAGAAAAAGAAGAGCAATTTCGCAACCCCCAGAGTGAAAGAAAACCCAAGCCATTATCCATTTCATCAATGGAGACCTCGTTTTTGTGCCCCCTGAGTCCCATCTTGTGTACGCCACCGGCCATTGCCTGTGCCGCAGGCAGGCGTGCAAGATCCAATGCGCCAAAGCAAAAACTACAAGAGCCGTAGCCCTCGACGGGCTCAGACCTGCCATCTTCCCCGGCTTCTTTTCCAACCGAAACAATGTTTGCTTGCCAGAAATCCATAGTGATGGCGTGCCCGTGTCTGTTGGCTCCGCTTTCTTTTTTTGCCATCAGATCTTTCTTTCTTTAGCAGCTCAACCACTCCGAATTAGTCACTGTCCACAGATACTGTGGCCGGGCCTCCCTAGTTTCCTCGTCTTTCGTGCTGTCGTGCAATCTTGCAATCTAAAACAAAAAACGTTTGTGTGTAAAAATGGAGCAAATGCGGTGCTGGTCATATGCGTAGAGTTCGTCATGTCCCAAGCTTCTAACTCTTCCGTTGGCGCTTCCGGCCCTTGGAGGACCCTCCCCCTTCCTCGTCGCCGTCCTCGTCGCTATCGTCTCGCCCGTGGGTGGCACCACCGCCGCCGCCGGCCTTGTCGTTGCCCTTCTTGATGGAGATGAGGCACCCTTGCTCCTTGAGCCGCTTGGTCAGCGCCGTCGACGCCTGCATGCCGGGGAAGTCCTTGGCGTTGTAGACGGTGAAGACCTCCGACATGACGCTGGCCACGATGGGCGACGACCCGCCGGGCCTCATGCCCATGGGGTCGAGTATGACGAGCGAGAATTTGAGCCGGAACGAGCCGGGCGTGCGGCACGAGAGGTCCGGGAAGCAGAAGAAGCAGCCCTCCTCGCCGTTCTCGTCCATCCCGACGAAAGGCGAGGCCACCAGGGTGCCCATCAGCCTACGCTGCTGCCGGTAGTCCTCGGGCATGGCAGACGTGTCGTGCGCGCCCGTCTCGTCCCATATCGAGCAGTGCACGACGGAGAACGGGTGGCGTATGCGCTGGCTGAGCTCCGCCTGGGTGGCGTCCGCATCGTCGATGGTCAATTGCACGATGGGTGGCGGGTCAATCACTCGGCGGTCTCGCTCGCCGAAGCCGCATGATCGGGCAGCGACGGGCTGTTGCCGGACGCGGATCCGGTATTCGGAGACGGTCGAGCGCGCCGGACTCGGCATGGGCGCTTTGCATGAGTGGGTGCTATCATGCCGGGGTCCGTCATGAGTGAGGAGGTTGGTAATGGACATCTGCTTGGCCTCGCTTCGTGGTGAAGTCGTGATGGGGTGTATAGAGGATGGGCTGGCCGGGTGATGCGAGGAGTGGGACGAGTATTGTCCATTCATGGTCGGGAACACTTGCGGAAGCTTCCCCAAGCTCGCCGAGGAGGGCGACTCGGAGTGGCGATGCTGTTCGCGGGGCGGATACGGAAATTGTGTCGTGTTTAAGCGCGGCGGCAATGGTTGGCTAACTCGGTGCGCTTTCATCTGATGTCGGTAGGTGTCCACATCGTCCGACCTGTCACTCGATATCGAGGATTGAGTGGGCGACAGCCGCACATCTACCGGGCGTCTCGGCGGTAGGGACGCTGCCATTTGGTGGTGACCTTCGCTGCCTGGGGCGGGAAGCTGTGGAGGTGTCTGTCCCACGGGGGACGGAGTAGCATACTCGGTGTAGTACGAGGCCCGGCTGCTGCCACCCACGCCATACTGAGACTCGCGGTTTCCAACCTGGTGGGCGTGGTTCACAGCGGTGAAGAGAGTGGCCGGCCCAGGCAGCTGTACCCTGTCTCTGGGGTCCCTCACTTCCCTGGGAGGCTCCTGGCGATAGTAGGGTGCTGATCTAGAAGGTGCGTACGGCTCATGGCCCCATCCATTGAGTGGTCGCGCCATAGCGTTCACTATGGGGTGACCAAAGCTGTGAGGAGGTGCCAGTTCGACGACTGTAGACATGAGGACCGAAAAGCAAGCCCGTCAAGGCAGGTCTGAGATGTCAGATAAAAGGATGCAAGGATGCAAGGATGCACTTTCCCACCACCTTGTCTCGAGTGGCTGTCTTGAAATTTCAGCCAGTGAAAACGGCAGTGCGTGTGGTCCAGAGAGACTTCGTTCAGCACGCCGGGGTCCCGGGGTTGCTTGTGGAACTGCTGCAGGCGAGAACTGAGAATCGTTGGCTGCGCTGAGCTCCTCCTACGTTGCTTGTTCAGGGCCCAAGGAGAGAGTGTCAGAGGCAGGAAACCGGTGGACAAAAATACGACGGGTGTGCGGCTTCGGAGAGCTGCAGAAGTGCCCACATAAGATGGCGTGAATGAACGGAGCGGTGCGGGAAGAGGCAGCAAAAATTAAAGAAACTGCAAGTGTCGCTGCGAGAAGCTCACTCTGGACAAGTGCCTGATTCTCGGGTCGTCGGGCTATCTCGTTTTCCTAGGTATCCCGCGATGAGCGGCGGCGGTTACGTGAAATCTTTTCGTATAAAGAAAGCGGGAGCCCTTCACGTCGATCGACCAGCTATATCAGGTCGCGGAACGGGAAAAGCCCAAGCAAGAGAAAGGCCGCGACAGGTCTGAAGTTGAACACGGCCGCCAGACTGGTGATGTACCTCGGAAAGTGCTGCTGTCAGAGGTGCTGCTGCCAGCTGCAGGTTGGCCAAACAGGCGAGAGAGGGGGGGGAGAGAGCAATCAAGCAGTTGCTGTTGTTTGCTTCGCCAAAGTCGGGGTATCTGCAGGTTGGCTATCCAGGTTGATCGTCTGTGCAGATGTCACCCTGTAGCTAAGGTAGGTAATTGAAGCGTACGGCAGTTGTCCGAGGGCGAGTGGCAGTGGCCGGAGTACATGTGCAGGTGTGAGCTGGCTGGTACTATTGGAGGTTTACAGCTTCTCTTCTCTTTCGTTCGGTTTCGACAAGATATGGTGGGTGAGAAGCAGAAGAGTTCATAACAGAGGGCCTGCAGGATTTAAAAAGAGTAGATGCGGATGTGCCTGTCGCTATGCAAGGTCTCTTGATCGACAAGCGGGCAGACAGCCAGGATTTCCTCGTCGATGTCGTCGTGTGCCCTCCGGCAAGCAAGGCAAAGAGCGTACTATGGGCGGGAAGGATGGCAAGGTATGCAGAGGCATGCAGGTGGATGCTGAGCTCGGAGCACTGAGGCGCTCCCAAAGCGGGCACAGAGCCTTGCTGATCAGGGTAGCAGGCAGGTCGGGAATATTTTAAAGCAATATGGAAAAGCCTGGGTGGTGGGCCATGTTGAGGGATTGACGGTGGTCAGTAGATTGAGGTGTAAATGGAGGCGAGGGAGAAAGAGCCTTGCAGCTCTTATAAGTCAGACAGGCCGGGAAGCACTATGAGTGGCCAAGCTTTGCTGCAGATAGATTGACGATGTTCGCCGCAGAGTGCAATGGATCCGGGAATCTACCAGCGGGCGGCGTTTCCAGTCCACGCCCAAGTCCAGGGTGCCAGGGGAGCGGGAGGAGGAAGGGTGACATAGGACGAGGTTGTTGGTGGACGACGCACGGGGTACGACAAGGCCGCCAAGCTGAGAGATCGGAGGTGTGAGGCAGAAGTCTATCGGGGATAAAAAGGGTATCCAGCTATTGACGCTTAAGGGGTTGTTGGGGGATTGGCGAGCCGGGAGGTTGGTGGTTCGCGGAATCACAATCAGAGGAAGAAGAAAGAAGGATGGGAGAATCCGGTGCGGTATAGGATGTGTGGTGAGCACAGAGGAGGGGTGTGAGTGTATGAGCTATGGTCGAGGGTGGAGAGGGGTCTTCTGATGATTTGTGTTGGCTGGGATCCTCGCCATTGGCGATGATCGAGTGAGAGATGAGCGGCAGCGGCAGCGGGATGAGCATATGTGTGTGAGAGAAGAGCGTGGGAGAAGACTGGGGGAGGCGGGATGATGTCCCACAGGTGTGTGTGTGTGTTGTGTGTGTGTGTTTGGTGTGGTGGATATGTTCTGGGTGAGTATGGGTGAGGACGGGAACGCAGTAGCTGAAGGTCGACCGTAAGTGGGTAGGTAGCATGGAGTTATGTGTCGAGGTTTTGTCGTTGTCGCCGCCTCGTCATGAAGTACCAGGTATGGAAGCAGTACGCGTCGGCATGGCCGCGAAACAGGTCAAGAGAGGTATTTGGAAATGGGCAGGGAAAAAAAAAGAAAAAACGAATCTATAACACACCATACAGACAGACAGACAGACAGAGACGCAGAGGAAGCGGCAAAGAGAAGGGGGAAAATTAGGAAAGAAGAGACAGTGGTTAACTTCGATCACAACGAGCAACTGCCTCCCTACCTGCCTGCCTGCCTGCCTGCCTGCCTACCTACAGTAGTTAGCTTGCAGCACGCACGAGTGCGGAGGCCAGTGTTCCACTCGGATATTTTCTTTTTTTTGGTCTCCTGTTCTGCTCTTCCTCTGTTCCCTTTTCTGCTTCTTCTTCTTCTCTGTGGCATGGCCCCCCCTTCGCCCCAATCTCGTGGTGCTGGGTGTTCGTCAGCCATGCGAGGACGGTTCTTGCATCGGCCGGAGCATGAGATCCAGCTCTCGACTGATTGGGCAGAGGCGAGGGCGAGTGACGAAGGGACGAAAACGAGAAGCAGCAGTGATCATCCCTCCCTCCCCACGGCACAGGTCGTCTACCCAGGTTCACATCTTTCATGCACGCTGTCCGGTACCCTGTTCAAATGTGCAAAGGTACTCTGCAGGCCTGACCTGGCCCAAGCCTGGCAATGCTTGGACCATGGATTGCCGTGGAGAAAGAGGGACCCTCTTGGACCCTCTTGGTCCCTCTTGGTCGAGACCGGCATTCGACCGGATTGCTCAACCGGCGCCCGGCTTGACCTCGCTCCAGCCAGCCGCCATGAGACAGTCGTATTTGAGGCTAAGTTTATTTGAAGGCCACTCACTTTGTAGACTATGCCGGTGGGAGAAATGGCACAATTCGACAAGGACAAGCAGTGAGACACACACTAACACCAACAGAGAGCAAACGGAAGAGGCAGAGATACGCGACATCAATGTCGATGCCAGCCAAGGTCAGAGAATATTGAATGTCGCCCAGCGTGCCAGGTCAGGCCGGCCCCTTGTCAGTGCCCATGCCAATGGCACACCTCAGAGAACCGGACAAGTCGCGGGCTCACACGCTCTTCCCGCCTGGTCGCTCACTCACTCACACACTCACCCACTCACCCACTCACTCACCTCACCCTGCTCGATCAGCAGCAGGCGGGAGTGCTTGGACGGAGACGCCCTGTACGCTCTCCCGGAGCCACTAATGCCATGTCTGGGTCGGGCACATGCAGCTCGCAGTGGAGGTTTCTTGCCTAGCCCAGCGCTCCCAGCACCCGGCGACCAGTCTTTTTACCCTGCCGGGGGAAATCGAGGTGGCATCCCTATGCCTGTGGGAGGGGTGATCAGCGCCACCGGCCAACCGGATCAGCCTGCGCTCCTGCAAGTGATAAGTTAGACGGCTGTGGGCTGGACGATGGGCTTTTCCTCTGACTGGGATCCGCGAGCGAGATGAAGAGCACGCCAAGTCAGGCCTGCCAAGCACCACCCAACTCAAAAGGGGACCCTGACTGTTGGAGCGATGTGCCGTACGTTGGTGCGCTCGTCTCTGAGGTCAGAAGAGGACGAAGACGGGGAGGAGGGGGTGACCAGGTAAGGTGGGCACAGGTAGGTAGGACATGGACCAGGTCCAGGGTGTTGGGCTGGCTGGCTGGCTGGCTGGCTGGCTGGCTGGCAAGCAAGTGATGTCGTTGGTTGCGTTGGCATGGCGTCGATTTGCTTGCGCCCGCACATCGACCCTGAGGTTTCTGTGATGGATGATGGTGTGGGTGTGACAAGGAGAGTCATGAAGTTTGGACAAGAGGGGGGCGCTTGATGGTCAGAAAGTCAAAACAGAGAAGAAAAAGAAACAACTCGGAACCTGGCGATTCTCTGTCGCGTAAACATACTCTGTCTGGCGTCTGTGTCTCTCTCTCCTCGCAACAAAGTGCATTAGCGTCGTAGGTCGAGGCATGAGGCACTCTGAACTATCTCGCTTCCAGATTTCTCCCTGCCCCTCCCACCCCATCTGCTACTGTACGGAGGACTTCTAGTTCCCGAACCCTAGTCCTGCCACCTCGCCTTCTGCCACACCACCCATCGCTACCCCACTTTGCGCTGTCAGGCGGATGAGGCCGCGGGCTACAGTGGGTTTGGAGCCCACTAACCCGGTGCGTCAGACACCATACCAGGACTTCTCGCGTGCCTAGCGAAATCTAGCTCGGCAGCTCGGGCGGGCGTCACACCCCTGGCTGGTGCGCTATCACAAATTACGCACAATCGAAAGTGTAGTCTAGTCAGTGACATCTTGTGTACAAGTAGAGCGTTTGGACATCAAGCATAGAGGGGGAGAGGAGCAAAAGAGGGGCGGTCGAAGAGGAGGGCAGTACGAAGTGCACAGCCAAGAGAAGGGCAGAGACAAGGGGCTCACGAGACTCGCAGGAACTGTACGCGGGAGAGACACATTTTTCCCTCTCTCTAGTCTAGTCCGTCGTGGAGATCCAGTGGCGACGGCTTTCAGACAAGGCGAGCCGGTCGGTGGTGAGTGAGCGTCAGCCTGCTGCTGCAGCGCAGCGCTGTGCTGCAGTGCACCGTCACTCGTCCGTCTTGCTCACCGTGCGTCGTCACGATAAGCTGGCCAAGTCTGTCTCACAGCAAGTACCTAGACCGAGCCCAGGCGAGCCCCAGTCATGCGAGGCCGGTGACAAGACTCGGTGTGTGTGGTGTGTGTGTGTGTGTGTGTGTGTGTGTGTGTGTGTGGGATGGCCGTATTTCGCCAACCCAACCAGCTGAAGAGATCGCTGGGGGACGTTTCGTGGCCAGACATGGTAAACGGGCCAGGACGGCCAGAGTCT